CGCTGCTGTGGCTAGCCAGGTTTTTAAACCAGTCATGTGCTAGCTCTAATTGCTCTCTAATGAGAGACTCCTGTGCAAGGAGAAATTACTGAGGGACAGTGTGGTGCGCACGGTGATGCAACCGTTTCCCCATATTTTCTCCTTTCAAATTACACCCCGTTGCCTCGGGGAACCCTCGGGCCCCGCAAAAAGCGGCACGTCAGGGAGCGCGGGGCCCTGCGTGCCGCCTCTGAGACCTGGCACCAGAGAGAAGACGGTGCAGCTCGCTTCTATAGCGAAGGTATTTGCACAGCAAGAGAGTATTTCAGGTCGGGCTAGCAGCTCGTCGCCTTCCTTCCTAATTTGTTTTCAAACCCCTCAGCGTGCGCGGGAAGAGCTACATACAGTTCACACGGCGATCCGAGCCCCGCGGGACCCGCTGTCCGCATCAGGGCAGGAGCCGTGCTGAGCCACCCCTCAAAGCCACATGTCGCGCCCACACAGGGGCAGCCGACTGTCAGATTTACATGCAGCCGGGCATTCACCTCAACAAGCCTCCCGTCCTCCCGGCAGGACCCCCACGGCTGCGTCTCCTCCAGCAGCAGGGTAACTTGAGCGATTGTTTGGAGTAAGTTTGCCCAAAGGAGAGTTTTTTCATTAAATAAAGAAAATACCTCCCGAAGAGACTCTCCGTGACCCCCGCGGCTGCAGCTGACATGCCGGGCTTCCCAGTGAAGGTCGTCAGTGTGTTTGCAATTAAAATGTTTGTATTAGATATTAATAACGATAATCTTTATTTAAGTCCCCAGCTAAAGCAAACAGGGCCCTGGAATCACAAAATCAAAGAGCAATAACTGGGTAAAGACAAGAGGTTTGTGATTTAATGAAGTCTTTTTCCGGAGGGATCACGCACAAAGTCATCGAAGTTTTTACGCAAATGAGAGTACCCCTGCCGCTCCCTCCTCCCGTCTGCGGGCTGGAAATCCCATGCTCAACACAGCCTCCCTCCCCTCTACCTGCTCCGCTCCCCCGGGAGCCAACCACCTGCTCGCTCTCGCAGGAGCGGAGGGATGCGGGGCTCCGCCGGCCCGCGGTGCGGGGTGCCCGGCGCGGCGTGGCAGAGCTCCGCCGCCCGCCCGAGGTGCCTGCGGCTCCGGGAACGGTGGCAGGAAGGCGGAGGAAGGGGGGAATGGGGTGCCTGTCTGCACTGCTGCCACGCTGGACACCGCTTTCCTCTGAAGTGATGTGACCGAGCATTTAAAGCCTTGTTTTTAGTTTGAGGTTTTTGGTGGTTTTGTTTGTTTTTTCGGGTTTTTGTTTGTTTGGGTTTGGGTTTTTTTGTTTGTTTGTTTTGTTTTTATTTGTTTTCGTTTGGTTTGGTTTTTTGGGTTTTTTTTTCTGTTTGGGTTTTTTTTCCCCCTTTTGTTTTGTTGGTGGTTTTTTTTTTTTTTTTTTTTTTTTTTTTTTTTTTTTGGTTGGTTAGCTTTGGCTTTTATTTTGTGGATGTTTATTTTCCTCGGTGAAATCGCCCGCAATCCAGGGAAGGAAGCGGACAGCCAGCAGCAGGCTTAGCTCGTTCTCTGAGCTCGAAGTCAAGGCGGTCAAGACGGGGCACAGCAACTATTTCCACGGGAAAATTCCTGCGTGGACCACTTTGGGGACCCTGTACGATTATTCCACAGTTTCCCTCTTTCTGTGGAGAATGAACTAGGGATGGGTGTAGGGGGCAGGGAGGGAGGAGGTTGAATAATTGAACCATGTGCTCGCCGGGACATCCCTCCGATAGCAGGAACTAGCAACTTTTCCCAGTCTCAAGGCTGCTAAAAACCCCCTCGTGTCCCTTTGATCTCTCCTGGGAGTCCCGGGGAGCCAGCAGAGGCCAATGCCTTCTTCAGCTGTCCTCTCTACAATTCCCTCTGGCAGGTACTAATGTGTTTACTTAGGTGCGCCCCGTTCCCAGCACTGGGGGGAACCAAACTTTTCTCACACGGCTGGAAGCGCCCGGCCCCACCAGCCCGACTGGGAAGCAATTTTGTTGTGGGGGCACCACGGAGGAGCCACTCGCTGCCGTTGCCGGCACGCCCGGGCGGCGGGAGCCGAGCGGAGCGGGGCGGAGAGGCTCGGCAGCACGAAGCTACGCGCCGTGCACCGGGCCCGGGTGTGCGCTCCGCCGAGGCCGGCCGGGCACAGCGCAAAGCGCTCCGGAAGGGCCTCGGGGGCGCTCGGAGGGACCACAAACACCTCTCGCCCCCTCAGTCCGGTAACTTGCAGTTTCGGTAGAATTTTCTTCTCTTAAATAGAAAGGCGTGGGATTTGGGAAAAGATGGCATGTTCTGCAAGCGGTGCCCACATGGGATTGAATCCCTCCAGGAATAGGTGCGGCACGGCAATTCCTGAGGAGTGGGGAGGTCTGGGGTGAGGAACACCATTTAAAGGAATCTTGATACGTTCACCACTTTCTTTCTGCCAGTCCACTGGCAGACACTGTCTGATGCTAAGGCTGTTCCCGCTTTCCAGACTTGAGCCTCCTGAAATGCAGCACTGTCGTCCCCCGCCCCCCACCCCGCCCTGCGCCAGCAGCCTCATTAGCCAGCCTTGTAGTTCGTGTTTTCTCCCCCCTTTCTTTAGTTCCACTCGCCTACTGCATTTTTGCAAATTTGTTTTGAGATCACTTTACCAGAGGAGCCAGGGGCTCCTTAAGGGATACTAATTACTGATTTTTTTTTTCTTCCTGAGTGACAGGCCTTTGCATGGTTATTCCCATTTCCCCAAAAATATTCAAAGAAAAAGGAAAAAATGAAAGATTTTTTTCCCATCTCTTCAAAGACTTTTGGGGAAAAGAAGGTTTCTTAACAGCCCTAGGTCCGCTGAGTTAAAAGTCAAATCTGCAAGCTAAAGCTCTGCATGCCAGGAGAGTGGGACTGAGGGCTTGGCGTTGTGCACCGAGAGATCTACAGTGCATACTTGGAGAGAAACCAAGCATGCACCAACCCAGAAAGGTGATCGGAACTGCAACCGGCACTTTAAAGATCAAGTTTATTTGTGCACGAAGCATAAATATGTAAACAGTTCTATTTTGCCAGCTCAAACGTGGTAAATGAAATTGTGTGCGTATGTGTGTGTGTGCGTGTGTGTGTGCACGCCACAGCCCAGTGAAGAGTTCAAGTTACTGTCGAGCAGAACCCCTCCTGACTGATGGTGTCTTAGGAAAATAGGAACCGTCCTGTTTCAGATGTGGCCCAACAAAACACCAACCTGCACTTCAGAGCGGCTGAAGTATTGAAATTCTGAGCTTTCCCATTTTGTAACTTTACTCCTTTATCAACTCCCTGCTTTTCATACAGTATTCATTTCAAAGGGGGCTCCCCGTGTTTATGGCCCCAAATAAACCAAAGCAGTGCAGATGTAGCCTTCCTCAGCTTTTAGATGATTTTTTTATTTTTTTCGTAGGAAAAAGGGTGTGCGCATGGTTGATTTTTAGGAAAAATTTTAGCCTAAGCGTGGAAATCCGCCTTTGGGAGCTCGGGTGTGGTGGTAGTGGGGAAAGCATGGATGGATTCCCTCCAGCCCCAGCACAGGCCGAGCTGCTTGCCTTTCTCCTCCTTGCCCGTGCGGATCGGAGTGCTTCCCGGCGGTGTGCGCTGCCACAGGGCATCACTCTCAGGAGACACTTCCCTACTCGCCTTGGTCACTTGATCAGCAGCTCCTGGAGACAAGCAGCTCGCCGTGCCACCACATTACCTCTTCCTGAAGAGAGGGTAACTGAAGGCGCCTTTTTCCTGGGCACACAAACCGGCTCCGTAGCGTTTAAACCATTGCTGGGTCATTTGCTCTCCGTTTGAGTTAGGCTAGGTCAGATAATTTTATTCCCAGGTAGGGAAGGTTTCCTTTGCCTTCTCATAATATTTTCCTCAGCTGCAAAAGCCACCTGGATGAAACCAAAGGATTCCTGCGCGTTAGCAAATGCCTGTTAAATGGCTTCATTACCACTCTAATGACCCTTGCACCGCTCCGCTCGGCTACTGCTGCGGCTGGGGCTCTGCAAGGCTTTTGTCCCCTTGTGTAAAGTTACTTAGGGATTGCGGGGTTAGAAATTTTACACTTCCAGGAGGGGTTTGTTGCACTGGCAGCTGGGACGCATCTGTAACGGTACAAGTTTGCCTGAAAGCAGAAAATTAGCAAGCCAAGGCACTGCTTGACTGTTGTGTCCCTAGCAGCTCCAGGTCACAAGTGTAGGAGAGAGAATTGGAAGGGGATTTGTCTCGGAGCAAACACATACACTTTGCTTTTGTGAGTACCATTCCTTGTGATCCGATCCGACAGCACTAAAATCTGGTTTCGCTTCTCGTCTCCTCTGGCCACAAGTAGCCGTGCATTGTCGTCCCCCAGTTTGTGAATTTGAGCGGTCGGTGGCACAACTTTAATTACTGGACAAAGCTCTCCTCGAGATAAATAAACACATCTTAGGTCTAAGAAGAAGGTTACAGTGTTTCAGGCTAGACCTGGATCACGGGCTGTGGGAAATAAAGATATGCAAGTAGATGTAGGTGTCCCTCCCGAAGAAAAGTGTGATGGAAAACTGGAGGTGGGATCACCGGGACAAGGAAGGACTGACTCTGTAGGAGCCACTGACAAGCGGTTCGTGCTCTTCCACTGCCCCTCTTTCCATATCAAACTGCAAATTCACAGGCTTCGTTGAAAATTCAGAGATGTCGCTGCCAGTTCTTGGGAGGTCGTTCATTAGAAAAGTGCCCATCTCTCGGCGCTCCAAAGGAGCGGTGCGGAGCAAATTGTCTCCTGGGGACTGGAGGGGGCTTGCCCAGACAGCTCCCGGCAGGGGCTGTGGTGGGATATGCTAATAAAACTGGCCGCTGCGGACCAGCCTCCCTTTCCATGTATATATAAGGGCCCCCCGCATCAGCCGAAGGACACTTGTTCTCGGGTCGCTAATTACGGAGGGAATTGCCCCAGCGCGCTGCGGAGCGCCTCGCCGAGAGCCGGTGGCCGCCGTCCCGCACTGACGCCTCCGCAGCAGGGATGGAGGTGATGGACAGCTGCAAGTTCTCCCCGTCCGAGCTCTTCTACGACAGCTCCTGCCTCTCCTCCCCGGAGGGCGAGTTCCCCGAGGATTTTGAGCCCAGGGATCTGCCTCCTTTCAGCACCCACGGGCCCCCCGAGCCCGCCTGCTCCGAGGAAGAGGAGCATGTCCGAGCCCCCACTGGCCACCACCAAGCTGGTCACTGCCTCATGTGGGCTTGCAAAGCCTGCAAAAGAAAATCCACCACAATGGACCGGCGGAAGGCAGCCACCATGAGGGAGAGGAGGAGGCTGAAGAAAGTGAACCAGGCTTTTGAGACCCTGAAGAGATGCACCACTGCCAACCCCAACCAAAGGCTCCCCAAAGTAGAGATCCTGAGAAACGCCATCAGATACATTGAGAGCCTCCAGGAGCTCTTGAGGGAACAGGTAGAAAACTACTATCACCTGCCGGGACAGAGTTGCTCCGAACCGACCAGCCCCACTTCCAGCTGCTCCGATGGGATGGTAAGACAGAGGCAGGACCCATAGGGCTGTGGGGACCCCAGGAAAACTCCCGGGTAGGTCCCCCTCGGCCCAACGCCGTGCGACCAGTCCCATGGGTGTGGGACAGGCCGAACGCATCCGGACATCAGGAAAAGGCGGGCGGTTTGCCTTAGAACAGGCCCCCTCCCAGATTTGCCTTAGAACAGGCCCTTCCCAGGTTTTTCTCTGAGCACGCACGTGGGTTTCTGGGGATGCAAGGGGGCTGGTAGCGCTGCCCGAGGGCTCCCTGCAGGCACCCCAGCCCCCGGGGTCCCGGCGTGCCCTCTGCTGACTTCCGAGCGGTAAGGCTGGGGGCGATGGGGGAGATGGGGAAGATGGGGAAGGCGCTGCCCAGCGCAAGCAGCCTGGCTGGGGAGCGGCTGCTTCGCTCCCTCCCGCCGGCCTTTATGGCCCTTTCCCTTCTCGGGGAGAGTCCCGCTGGCCCTGGGGAAAGGGCGGCAGGGCCGGCACTCGCCCCTCGCTGTTTTGCAGGCCGACTGTGGCAGCCCCGTTTGGTCGGCGGGAGGCAGCAGCTTCGACGCCGTCTACTGCGCCGAGATGGCCCACGGTAAGCCCGACTGGACCCGGCGCGGCCCGGGGGGCAGAGGCGGGGCCCGGGGACCCCCCCCTTTCCCCGAAGCACTGGGGCAGGCAGCACGGCACCCGCGGTAATGCTGCCGTGTCCCCCTCCCTCCCTCCCCTCGGCGCAGGGTACGCCGCCGATCAGAGCAGCGCCCTGTCCAGCCTGGACTGCCTCTCTAGCATCGTGGACCGTCTCTCCCCGGCGGAGGAACCAGGGCTGTCTCTCCGTGACGCCGACTCCCTCTCGCCCAGCGCCAGCATCGACTCGGGGCCGGAGACGCCCGGGACGCCGCTGCCCCGACGGACCTACCAGGCGCTATGAGGGGCCGGAGGGCTGGCACCCCCCGCGCCCGGCCGCCTCCCGCGAACGCTTCTCGGGCGAGAGGGGCAGCCCCGGAGCCCCTCGGGCCGCCGCTTCCCTCTGGGGCTGCAGGCAAAGCGCCCCGCCGGCCCCCGGCCCGGGATCTCCCGCATCCCTGCAGGGCAGGCAGACCCCGGGGCTCGGGACACGCGCTGCCCTGGAATCCCCGCTGCAAATAAAACGTGCTGTGATTCCACTAGTGTGTATCTGAGGCCACTCATGGAGCAACAAAAATGTGGAAGTTTAAATTCTCACTCTGTATGTCCTGTTACCGGCGGAGTTTCCTCTATTTTCTGCAAAAATAAAAAGTGATATTTCACAGTCATATTTTTCTCTCCTCCTCACCTTCCCTTCCCGTCCACCCCTGCAAAGCTCATGTTTCTCTACTGGGTTTGAAGATGGACTGTATATTCCAGAATTTGACCTTAAAATTGCATACTGACTCTGCTCTTAAAACAGCTGCATGATCTAGCTCTGATGCTGTGCTGGAGAATTTTACTCGCTGCTCTGGCAGAGAGACAAATTTAGTAAAGTTACTAAGAACAAACCACATGTATCTCTTTCACAAGCCACGAGGTATTATTTCACAATATTCAGAAAGCAATAGGGATTTATTTGCTCCTAATGACTTTGGTCTTACTGACCAGGATGCAAATTCATTACTCTACATGGCTGTGGAAATAACCAAATCTTTATGTGCTCACAGATTTAACAAGTATTTCCTTCAGGCACTAAATTAGATCTATCTACCATGAAAAATTTCCATCTTTTTGCACTCCTCTGGCTATAATTCAAAATTTTCTTAGCCAACTCTCCCCACCCCACCCCCTCAACCCCCCCAAGAAGATATGAGATGGAGAGATGGGCTCTTTCAGTTCATACAGAAATGGTTCATATGATACATACTCTGAGTGGGAAGGGACATTTACACCTCACTATTGTGGGATAAGGATGTATTTGCCATTTGTGTTTGTGTTGCTAGTATTCGGTGGCCAAGGGGCCTGGCAGTGGTATTTCACCTCTGATGAATCTTTCACTTGAACCCAGCCCAGCTGAGTCAGCTCACCAAAAGTGACCTGGCTGGCCTTTGGCAGCAACTCTGACCCAAAGATGAAAGAAGCCTTGCTTTGGGATGGCTCTGTCCCTGTAGCACACCGAGGGTCTCTGTCCCCCCCACAAGGGGCCACAGAGAAAGTGAGGTGGCACCTGCCTTCCTGGGCCTGTAGCAGGGCAGTGGCAGGTGAGTGTCTGACACAGGGCAAGGCCAGCCTTTGTGCACAGCTTCCCTCAAAATTACTTTCTGCCCTTGCTCATAGCCTTGAGGTAAGTGTTCTTCTTTTCTTGCAGAATATTTTAGGGGGAGCATTGACCAGAATGGGCTTTCTGTGTATACAGATACGTCTGTACTATTCATGGAACAGAAGAAGTGGTTTTGAACCCCTGTGTTGCACTCATGCAGAAGTACAAACAAGGTGTTCTCATGCTCCTGTCATTGCAGATGCTTCAGGAGCATGCAAGTGCCTCAACACAGACATAGTCTTGGTTCTGGGGGATCACTTCCTAAGCCTTCTGTTCACAGGAATCCTTATGCAAGACTGTGAACGTCACTGGTTCTATTTCCTGGCTTCTCACACACTGCAGCAGTGTTGCAGTGTTTGCTCCTCTCCGTCAAAATACCATCCCAAGGATACTTCTTATGCCCAGGATTTAGAATGCAGGTGATTTTAAATGGTATTTTAAAGTGAGCTAAGCTAAAGAACTTCCAGCATTTCATTCTGCTCTGTGCTGACCTTAGAAAGTGATCTTGGATGAAGTATGCAGAGTAACACTAGCAAATCACATGTTGGTAATGTACACCTCTCTTTGGCTGGCAGACATTTTAGGAGTTGCAAAAAGGTCAATACTTCTGAGAAGTAGATTTTCAGAGTGTGAGGAAAGCATTCCATCTGTGGGATGTTTTTCCATAGCCTCCTAAGTCCTACTACAGTAGTTTACAACCTTTAGGTTTTGCTATACACATCTGGAAACAAAATCTGAATTACAGGACACCTATGAAAAAAGCTCCTATAAGCCAAAAAGTGCAAGAATTCTTGTAAGGAAGGGAAATGAGAACCATGAAACTGCTTTTTAGTCTGTGGATTGGGAAGATCAAAAGGGCTGTTGGGAGATAGACCATTCTGGCCACATTTTACATATTTAATAATGATATCAATAAGTGGAACTGAAAAGAAATATTTATATTCTATATGAAACATGTTCATTTAAGGAAGGTTGTGTCCAGAAATAAATAAGAAGGTGGTGTTCTAGAAAATCTGAGTTCCACCTACCCTGACTCCTCCTACATGTCTGATTGCTTAAGGCTCTGGGGCAGTGTGGAGTGGCCTCGCAGGCAGGCAGGCAGGTGCTGGGATCCCTCATGGTGTCAGAATAATGAATGCAACATAGAAGCTGTGTTACATCAAGTTTTCTGACTATCACTCACCGCAAGGAAGGGCAAAATTCTGTAAATTTTTTAGAATACAATTAATCTTGTATTTTAACAATGCTTATTTGACTTAAATTATGACTGAGGGAGGCAGATGAGCTTTGTTTTTTTGTGTGTGAAATCTTTTGTATCTTTTGTTAATAATCCAAACAGAGATCTTTAGTGAAATACATATTTTAATTTCAGATCAAAAGAGACATTTGCACATTGCAAAACTAGCATAGAAACCTGGAAAAGATCTCTTAAATATAACATCAAGACAAAAATCCCGCTTTCGTAATGCTCAAATTTCTTGAGTTGATTGTGTGATAAACCACTCATTTTGCCTTTAGTAAAAGATCAGGCTTTCTTTTCCTGTTGCAAGGCGTAAAAGTGATACATTTTTAGTAATTACTTCTTAGAAGATGAAGATCTTTATTTGTAATGTTTGTTTAAATATGTCTAGGAACACCTCAAATTCGTACCTACATTTCAGTGGAAATTCATCATCTCTTCTTCCCAGTTTGCCCTGCTTGTCTGGAGCAGTCAGACTTAACCATAGCAGGCAGCTCACCTCTCCCCACCCTAAACCTCTTCCCTCACTCCCTTCTTCCCTCCTTTCCTCCTGCTTCTCCATCTTCTCCTCTGCAGAACCCTTGCCTCGCTCATCACTTCTCCTTGCTCCTCTCAGCTGGACCTTGGCGTGCAGGAGGACTCACAGCTGCCCAGCTGACTTCTGACCTTTGGCAGGTTCTGCATGGGGTATCAGCCTTACAGCTGGCCACAACTGCCTTCCTGGCAACTGAAGGCCTAATGAGCTTGGCCAGCTGGAGACTGGGCTGGAATCCTGCTGGCTGATTTGACCCTGCATGAGGGATTGAGGGGTTCACCCCCAAATGTGGAGGGAGTGAGCAGTGCATCTGTCTATCTGCTGCTGCCCCGGGCCATTAGAGCCAGGCTTCTCCTACAGCTAACTGGATTAGTGGGATGACTTTTTAAAGACAGCAGAGCTGTTTTATTCCCGTGCTTTTTTTGAGCTTTCTGTTGAGTATTAGGCTTCATTAGTGGCCATTACCCTCACTACATCTCACGGTGTTCACTCCACAGAGTCTAAGAGATACACCCATCCACCAGACCAGGGCTGGACTGGGAGTTATTCCCCTTCCCAAACACAGTGGGATATATTTTCCCTTTATTCATCAGGTGCCCCACTTTCCTATCTCCAGGAGGTTATGCATCTTGGACGCTCAGATATCATGCAAAACCCTATACTGCTACTTTCTCAAAAGTCTCCTGCTTTCCACTCCCCTGACCAGCTGAAAGGCATCATTGATCCATGGAGTCTATTTACTCCTTGAGCATTAGTAACATTTATGAACTGCCTGGCAATCTGCTGAAAAACATTGCTGGCTATGATGCTGAAGGCATTGCTCATCTGTGCTTGAAAAAGGTGATACCATGATATATGAGGGTCAGCAGGCCCAGAGAGAGATCAGAAAGGTGTTTCAGTATCTTCATTAAATCAGGTGAATTTGGGTCTGACACTCTTTGAGAGGTCCTCAGACCTGGAGTAGCAGCAGAAGAAAAAAAGTGCATTTTTCCTTCATTATTTCTCTGATCTTCTGTGAATAAATACTTTTGAACTGATACTGTTTTCTGTTTTACAAATCCATGTAACATGACTTGAAAAGGTACCTTTAAACGCATTATAATCCATTCCAGTTGGCTGGAGTAGAGTCAGTCATCTGGAGGTTGCTGCCTTTTCTCTGGTCCTCAACGTCCTGGTTCTGTCTCCTTTGGATAGTATCAAGCTGATATTGGGAGCAGACACCACACTCCCTTCTCCTCTTGGTCTATGCCAACCAAGAGTTGTCATTCTGATCCTAGGATTCCTACATTTCATTAACATTGTGTCTTGAGGAGCTGGGAGTCCTGGCCTTTTCTGTCAGGTTGTATATAATGCTGTGAACTCCCAAAATGGAATAGTTTGGCTGTACAACTTCTTCAAATGGATGAGGAGCATCCTCTTGGATGCCTGCAGTAGTGAAGACATAAGCACCTAAATAGTAAGATCTGAGCTCATAATCCCTGCATGACTAAATGGGGATTTTTTTGGGCCTCATCCTAAATTTAAACATTCACCCTCCTCTTCCTTGCAAACTCTGTGAAACTGTTTACCTTGTCACAGTGCAGTGAGTGACCTCCATTGAGGAGTTTGTTCCTGTTGTGCAACAGGCCAAGGAAGACACATGCCATGAAGGTGCCCCATGCAGTGGGAAAGCAGACACCCCACTAATCTGAAGCTGTGTTTGATTGATGGAAATATGGGTGAACTAACACCCAGTCTGGGAGAAAGTGAGTGTCTCATGTTGGGAATTCGCTTTGAAAGGCACACTTGGTGACAGAACAAAAGGGGCTCCTGCTGAAGCCGGGAAGGTGAGTACAGAATGCAGAGAGGGCAGTGGTCACACGGCTATATATGCAGCTACCCAATACGGAGTATATGTTTGTATATGAGCATATATACTC